AGAGAGAGAGAGAGAGAGAGAGAGAGAGAGAGAGAGAGAGAGAGAGAGAGAGAGAGAGAGAGAGAGAAGCATCTCCCATACATCAACTATATATGACGCAGCCATGCATACAATGATCGACCCTATCACTCATGGACCACCACCAACGCCCGTTCCTCTTTTGTCGATCATGGGCGTCGTCCTCCCTCTGTGGGAGTCGCTCGGCTACTCTCCACATGCGCAAACCTCTAGACCCATGGCAGTGTATCTTCCCATGTTCTAGAGGAAGATTCACTCTCATTTTGCAGATTTGGAGAGTACTGGAGCAAGGCCTTGTAGCTGTATTGGAACATGTGGTTTGACTCGCCACCGCGCCAACAATAACATCGGGACTGCTGCACACTGTGAGCACCGACGATGTACTCGATTGGTGAACTTGTGCGCACGAAAAAAAAAAAAACAACGCCCCGTGACTCCAAAGCACCTCCACTGCAGCACGCTAGCCTTCCAACTCACGCGCGACCGAAAAAAGAAAAAAAGCGATTTCTGCGAGTTTCCCTTGGGCCCGAGCCTTGTTCCTGTAGCGGACCCACCAGGTGTGGTGCTCCGCTAGTGACAGAGATGGAGATGGAGGAAGAAGGAGGGAGCAAGGTGCACAACGCAGCTCCCCACGCAGACTCCAACACACGTACTCCAAAATGTGCAACTGAAGAATGAGACTGAAAACAGACAATGGCTGGGGTATACCCCAGCGGACTGACGAGACTGGACTGGACTGGCTGGTACCGACAGAGGTACCGGCCTGGACTGACCTACCCCGAATACAACACAGGCCTGTGAGAACAGGCCAAGGGGCTGGTCTCACAGGCCAACCCGAGGTCCGCTACACGATCCTCGGCCTGTGATGGATCGCCTAGATACAAACATGCTTCCGCCAAGAAGCGGAACTCTACCAAAGAAAAGAAAACCTGAGTAATCTAGGATGCGGAGCAAGCTCCATGCTGAGTCCACGCGATGCAACCTAGGATATAAAATGTCACAAAACAGCAATATCACAGCTAACACCCCAAGTGAAAGCAGAAGCAACTAACTAACATACATGTCCTAGGAAAGCAAAAGCAACTAACTAGCATACATGTCCTAGGAAAGCAGAAAGTACACTAGCCTCAGTCTGGTAACAACTGACTAGTGTATAAGTTCTACGAACAGCAAAAGCAGAACAACTAAATCCTAGAAATGTCGGAGGCAATAGCCTCAGTCTGAGAGCAACAAAGCAATCAACAAGACAAGCATATGTCACATGAGAAGTGTGTCGCAAACCAAAGGGTGGGGTGGTCTCTGAGGGTGGCAGATGCAGCCTAGGGGTCGAAAACTCCTAAGGGCATTCACACATAGTGACAGGGGAAAACACATGTCATCAGGCTCAATGAGGGTAGGGAACTGGGAGCGAACAGAACCAATGACCCTAACAGATAGACCATCAGGGCGGGTAATGCTCGACTAAGGGGTGACCGCTATGGAGGGTCGACCATGCAAGGGAACAAGGGAGCCTGGTATACTTGGCGCACCTAGATGAAGCATGCGGGGCTGCCTAACTAGGGCGTGAGGGCCGGCGAATGGTAGAAAGATGATGGGTAAGGGAATCATGCAAATGAATCCTAAAGTGAAGGAAGTCGGAGCTAGATCCGTAAGGTGGGAAGCTAGGGCAATGCTACGGTCCCGATGCCTATGCGTATACCAAGGGAGAGCCCAACTCAGAGGAACCCGGCTAAAGGGAGACCATCATGCGACACAAGCAGGGTACTGTACAGGGTAAAGTGGTCAGAGAGTGGCGACGTTTGAAGTAGGCAGAGCTGATCGTGACGAAGTCCATGAAGCTGCCTATGACGTCCACGATGAGAAGTCCGGAATGCCGTCGAGGAAGAGCCGCAACGTCGACGAGCTGAAGTAGCAAAGCTGATGTGGATGGAGTACTGAGAAGTCAAAGACGTCGGAAGGTAAGTCAGAGTCAATCGTCGTATCGAGCAGGACGACGACAAGTGCGCTGTGGACGCTCAGAAGCATCCGGCTGCTGCTGAAGGTCTGCCTCAGATGGAGCAGGCTCGACTTCAGCGGTCTCCTCAACCGGAGGAGAAGGAGGAGGGTCAGTGGGCTGAGGAGGAGCAGTGAACCCAACCCGACGAGCACGGTCATAGGCACGCACCAACATGCGAGCGTGCTGCAAGTGCTCGAGGGGCTCCCAGGTAGCCTCCTCATCAGGGTAACCCTTCCAACGTACAAGATACTCGACGTGGGGAGGGTTGTCATCGGTGACTCGGCGACCAATAATGTCTGAAACGAGGAACTCCTCGTGACCGTCCACCATGATGGGTGGAGGGCGCTCGTATGGTCGTCCGGCGAAACGCTCAGACGGTCTGCGGTAAGGACGCAGTAACGAGACGTGGTAGACATCGTGCACATGAGCCTGGCGTAGGTAGTCGGGCAGCTTCACACAGAAGCTGACCGGGCTAGAAGCCGTATCAGAACCGACGGCCTGGAGGATGCGGCATGGACCAAAGAAGCGATGCCGAAACTTGCGAAGCGTATCCGCTTCGAGCTGTAAGTGGCGGGCGTCGATAAGCACATCATCACCGACTTTGAATGGATGATCCATCCTCGATCGGTTCACACGTGCTGCCATGCGAGTCTGGGAAACGGCTATGTGCTCATGTGCGGTCTTCATGATCGACGTCATGTGTGCAACCCAATCATCTAGCGCGGGACAACTCGTGTCGGGGTGCATCTGTGACGGTCGAAGGAAGTCCGCGGGAACACGAGGGTGATAGCCGAGGTCGCAATAGTAAGGCAACATCCCCGTGCCTGGCAAGACGGGGTGGTTGTAGGCTATCTCCGCGTGGGCAAGATGGAGGTCCCACTGCTGGTCGTCACGAACAATCTTTCGGAGAATATCTCCGAGAGTCTTGTTCGTGATCTCGGTCGAACCATCAGTCTGAGGATGGTAAGACGAGGAGAAGCGGAGCTGAGTGCCGTATACCTCGTGGAGCCGTCCCAGAATCGGCTGGTAAAGCGCGAGTCACGGTCAGATATGATGCTGAGAGGTAAGCCGTGGTCGCGCACGACTCGGTCAAACACGATGTCGGCGACCTCACGTGCACTGATAGCATAGCGGCACGGAACAAAGCGTGCACGCTTCGTGAAGCGGTCGACCACGACCAGGATAGCATCATGACCGCGACGGGTCGGAGGTCGAAGAGGACCGATAAAGTCCATCGAGATGGACTACCAACGACCCTCAGGGATAGGAAGAGGCTGGAGCAAACCATAAGGTAGGTGGTTCGCACTGTTCACCTCTTGACAGGTGGGACACTCTGCCACGTAGTCCTTCACAAAGTCCTTGCGCTTCGGCCAGACGTACAGGCGGCTCACACGAGCCAACGTCTTGTGGAAGCCCATATGACCGGCGACTGCCTGATCATGGAACTCTGCTACTGCTCGGACACGTAGCTGTCCAGTGGAGGGAACGCAAATACGGGGCTCTCTGGTGCCCTGTGAACCGTGCCAGTACACAAGACCGTTGTCCCCGAGAGAGTAGTTCGGGACGGTCTTGCCACTCCGAAGGGTCGCGTGGATGTCGCGATAGTCGGGGCAGTGGCGGTACTGAGTGCGAGACTCGTCGATCACCGAGTGATGGACGGTGGTGACCGAGATGGAAGAGAGCTGGATGTGTTCCTGGTCGTGGTCAGGGCGCCGGGATAGGGCATCTGCGACCCGATTAGTCTCACCCTTGATGTGCTCAGTGGTGAAACTAAACTCGGATAGGTCGCGCCACCTGCGAGCCTGTCGATGAGTGAGCTTCGGTTTTGTCAGAAAAGCCTGGACAACAGAGTTGTCCGTACGCACCGTGAACGGTGCCCCGTGCAGGTAGTGACGCCAGTGCCGAGCGGCATAAACTACTGCGAGAACCTCACGTTCATCAACAGTGTAGTTTATCTCGGCGGGCAGGAGCTGACGGGAGTAGAAAGCTATCGGACAATCACCTGAGCGAGACTCGACAGTGCCGCCCTCGGCGATGGTAGGAGAATAGTCAATAGAAGGCTCGTCAATAGCTGGACAAATAGGCATCAGTCGGGAAGCGGTGGTAGGGGTAGGTGGTCGGAAGCGAGGGATACGAGGATGAGAGGAATCAGGAGAGGAGGGGAAGACCTGAGAAAACACTGCTCCTACAGCAAAGTCAGACGCATCGGTGGTAAGGATAAAAGGGCGATCGAAATCGGGTAGGTGAAGAACCGGTGCGCATGTCACCACCTTCTTGAGGACGCGGAACGCGTCCTCGTGAAGGGGTGTCCAAGCCCAGGGTGGGTTCTTCCGGAGGAGGGTGGAGGTAAGGACGTAGGAATACCTAGCGTATCCCCGGATGAAATTACTATAGTAGCTGGTCAGGCCTAGGAAGCTGCAAAGCTGGTTGGCGGATGTGGGGGCGGGCCACTCTGCAATAGCAGTGATCTTCGCGTCGTCCATATGGAGACCCTGGTCAGACACGTAGTGTCCTAAGAAATTCACTTTGTGTTGGGCAAGCAGCTTGGCGTAGAAGCCATGTCTGCGCAAGCGGTCAAGGACGTCGCGGAGGTGTCTGAGGTGCTCCTCAAGCGTACGACTATAGACCAGGATATCGTCGAGGTAGACAAGAACGTACTGCTCCAGGATGTCCCTGAAGATGTCGTTCATCGCTCTCTGGAAGGTAGCGGGTGCGTTGGTGAGGCCGAATGGCATCACCGTGAACTCGTAGTGGCCGAATCGCGATCGGAACGCGGTCTTCGACTAGTCGGCTGCAGCGACGCGGATCTGATGGTAACCGCTACGAAGATCAATCTTCGTAAAGAAGCGGTTGCCTGCTACGTGGTCGAACAACTCATCGGAACGAGGCATGAGGTAGTTGTTCTTAACCGTGTAGCGGTTGAGACCGCGGTAGTCGATGCAGAGACGAAGGGTTTCATCCGCTTTGCGAGCAAAGAGGACGGGTGCACCCCACGGGGAGTTGCTGGGTTTAATGAAACCCAGTCTCAGGAGCTCCTCAAGCTGACGCTTGAGTTCGGTGGCCTCGGGGATCGAGAGTCTGTAGGGTGCCTGGTAGTGAACACGATAGTCAGGCACAAGATGAATGGAGTGCTCGATGTCACGCATCGGTGGGATGCCGGTGTCGAGCGCATATGCCCCCGCGCGAGAGAGGGCCCTCCCGGCCGCGTCACGCAGGGGAAACTTAGTCTTTCAACTTTTTAGAGACAACTCGGGGACGACACGGCAACCCGCGCCGACCCTTCGCCGCTCCGGCCGAGTGCGCCAGCTGTACATCCCGCGGTCCCCTACGACAGGACAGGTTCTCGCGGGGCACAATTTACCTTCCCTAAGGGGCTGTCACCACCCTTAGGGGCGTATCCTTACCGAGCTACCGACCCATATGCGAAAGCTTTTATAATGCAATTGCAGAGGTAGGCCGGCCGAGGGCGTTTGCTCGTTCGCTGTAGCATAGGTACACATGGTTAAACACCAAGTGGACATGAACGTCGCCCATCCCTGGGGCGCTGATCTCCCAGGAATCGGAACGACGTCGGTCGACTAGAAAGTGATATTGCAAGCGCAAGAAAACCTCAATCAATCCTAGTCCCTTTTCCCAAAGACAATCAAAAGTTAAACATCAAAGGAAGACTCAGGTCAACGTAAGCTGACATGTATTCTGAGATCAACTTATATGTAATACAATCATGCATACYACTCGTCAACAAACRGACAAAAGCATGACTTATACAGRATGCGAASCTCAAATRACATCTRACTAAAGTATCTACACTCTACTTGTCAGACGGTTGGACTGTCACGACTTTTTCCGACTCGATGAGATGCGTTGCCGAGTTCTTTCACTCCACYRYATGCRGACTGCAAGCAAGAATGCAGACAAATYCCAATACTCGATTAAAGYTAGGACGCCRTCGCACCAGTGATGACTATGCTCCCACTCTAACTTTGGTGTGARTGCCATCTGCAAATAACTCGGCTACCACTTTTACAAGTCAGCRACCAACTCGAACAACTGACACACTGATCACTTCGCCAAAGACGGGGTCCACCYTGCCTCTGGGAAACAATTACTCTTGTTGTTCTATGAATGATGASGTACCCGCCTCCRACACAAAGACATTCRAAGCAATACTTTARTCRTTACCTTCTGTCAACTAGCCTGATGACCCCAGGCTTGCRCTTCTTATGGTGCAAACCTGTCCGCGAAGGCAGTGCCTAGTCGCACTCCGTCCATAGCTAGTGAACACACGAACTGGGCTTCTTATGGTGCCAGTTCCCCATTCGTCMGTGGCTCCTAAGACGGYCACTAGAAGGGTAAACTATARCAGTCCTTCTTAACTTTARCCGCCAAGAACTTGACACCTCCCRTGAATAGCACACACCCATCCCCTAGGAGGTGGTYTGGGATACCCYTCGTCCTCGCCCGAGCGAACCTYGGATCTCAGAAGTCGGGCTGGCTCCACCACGACAACATGGTATCCCCCCGCCTAAGCGGTCCACTCCGAGACGTTAACARGGTCGGCCCCTAAGGCAACTAACCCCCGCCTCARATGCGTCCTAGGGAASGGAAATGCACTTACCACAGCAGACGGTCARCCCTTATCGCCTGWCGTSAAAGACGGACCTAGACGAAGAAGGAGATCACAGAGAAGAAAACATTCAGATAGACGGCATAGATARAGAGGGACATTCGSGAAAGAATGGGTAACCTCRGRAAAAATCTACGTCCAATTCATTTCTTCTCCTTTATGTGATCGCTCCGTTCCTCGTCGTCTGCTSTCTTCTCATCCTTCCAACATGCATGCAAGCAAAAAATAGAAAACAGTCATCACCCCATTCACTTTCGCTGACATRATTRARCCTCCATTTTCCAAGCATCCTTCTACTTACCTGCACATGAGATCAAACAACAAGTTCAAGAGAAAACAATGCAATYCCAAACTCATGTCARACTTTCARTCACAYGTGCAAACAAAYACAACTTCCCCTACCTTTCCAGTGARCATTCAAAGAACAGGGTCAAGCAAGTGTGGGTTCACAYAGTTGTGAAGGGGTCTGAGTCAAACAACTGACCTTGAGTGAAGTTGAAGCGGCTCACTCAAGAAAGCCTAATATTTTTGTTAAAAGACKGATCACACAACTCACGTTGTGGCCTGCTTACAAAAATAAACCATGCTCCTCTTCAAGTGCCACCACTGACCCAGGCGCCGCTTATCAAGACAAAGCAAGCTTGCYKTCGAGAAGAGCACCCCCACTCTCAAGTCTCACACGGCCTCACTATAGTCTCAACGGCATACCTCCTACAAAGAACARCGTCAGTTCAMTCTCCACTCCAACCCCCACCGATTGCCAAGTCAGATCACCGCACGCCTCCACAATACTCATTTCCCGTCTCACTYCTCACTCACTTGRTCCCAGAATGGTCCCAGATAGTTCCACACCATCGCCGCAATACTGGGTGGTCCCAACTCAAACCCCTCTTGCCCAACGTGCCGTAAAAAAATTGGTCTCGACCAGCCTTTTAGGTGCCGTATGTTACTGGCAGCGTTTCCGCATAACCACCGTCGACCCCAATGCTGCCACCGCAAAATTTCGGCAGCGCTTCCGCACTACCGCTAATAAAAGCACCGCCGTCGTCGTGCCAAGCGGACAACACCTCTTCTACAGACTCCAATGATGGATGCCGCCGCCAAAAAAGCCATGCAACATCTCCCCTACACCGCCAGCCGAACCCCTGCCGCCGCTGGGCAGAGTTTCCCCCTGCACTGCTTTCACCAAGGTGGCGGCTATGGCAGCCTCCACCTCCTCCTTCGCCAGCAGCTCCAGCATCTCCACCAGCAGCACCCAGCCAGCATTTACTCAAGTGAATGCCTCAGCAGCATTGCCACAACTTGTGAGGCTGCTGGGTGGACTGCTGGCTTTAATAGCCAGCCGAGAACATGTGGGCAGCTGCTTTGCTCACAGCCAGAACTCGGAATGAGGCCTGGCCCTTGATGTTAAACGCGATCAAGGGCTGCAAAACTTGATGTTCCCCTAGGGGGACCAAGTTCAAGCCTCTGGGAGTGCATCTGGCCATCACCTGCGGCCAGACGCACCACAGAAGTGACTGTACTCAACCATTTCTGAGCAGACTGTTGAAACCAACAGTCTGCTGCCCTATCAAGGTCCAGATGCTTCTGGACCTTGCATCTGGACAGAGGCCGCGGCGAAATCCGCGGCCCCCC